ATGAATTTATGAAGGTGACCCTCCCATACATTTCATTTTAAACCCAGGATCGGGAGGTGTCCCTGTGTGGTTCTCAAGAACCACATAGGTGTAGCATGCCTGAACAAGTTCCTCAACTCATGGCTTATTTGTTGATCCTTTTGTCACTCAAGCTTATAATATAATTTTAAAAACATCTTTTAATAACTTTATGCCAGACAATTGATATAACTTGAGGAAGTGACCCTTAATCCTTGTGTGTTGAATTTTAAGGGTAGCATAGATCTGATGTTAAAAAGTCAAGGGGAACAGAGATTTTTGTGTCCTTATGTTGGAAGCATAGCAAGTCTAAAAACAGCAACAGGATAAATGCCATTATTAGTAATAATAAAGAAGAACAAGGATCATAGTAGACAAAGATGGGGACTTAAGTACCCTCCAGATTCTGGATATAGCCTCTAAACGGAGATGGTATAATGCCCACTCCTAAAGTCAGTCAGGTGTATGCCATAAGACAATAGCCACAATAGCAGTCTCACTGCCACTATGGGGATCTTGCTCCAAAAGGTGCCACAAAAAACCAAACCAAAACAACAACAACAAAAAAGTGAGTAAAAAAGTTTGCCAGCCAGAGAAGACAAGGTGCCAGTGTGGTTACTGTCTGCATAAAAAGCTGAACAAGTGCATCAAGATGGCATAAGGCAGGGCTGGGGTTGTGGCTCAGTGATAGAGCACTTGCCTAGCAGGTACAAGGCACTGGGTTTGATCCTCAGCACCACATAAAAATAAATAAATAAAAGTATTGTGTCCATCTACAACTAAAAAAATTTTTTTTAAAAGATGACATTGACATAAGGCAGACAGAACATGGGCCTGACATATGGAGGAGCTTTTAGCAGAGAAAAGAGTTTACAGAGAAGTCCAAGGCAATAGGCAAGATATAAGAGGCTTACTTGGGCATGGTTTTAACCAAAGCTGGGAGATGAACAAGGTGAAGTTTAAATACCTGTCCTGTAGATGGTGCTGATCTGAGTCATGGCAACAGGTTAGATGTCACAGGAGAGTGGGAAGCTGTAGCTCCAAACCTCAGTTCTTATTTTCCCGTTGAAAAAAACTTTAAAGTCAGATACAAAAAGCCAAGCAAGATAATTTTATTATGAGTGAAAGTAAAGGAAGCCTGAAAGTATTGAGAAAGACAGTGGGTCATCTCTGAGCAAAGAACAACAAAGAAAACTATGCTACTCCCAAATTTATCATTATTTTATATTTGCCAGGAGAACTAAGTTCCACCTTCTGATCTTTGCCAATCACATGTTTATATCCTCCTCCACACCCCAGTTGGTCCTCTCTGGAACTGTCATGAAACCACCCTATTCAGGGGGACTCTATCTACAAGTCAATTTCATGTTAATACGGGTGCTGGGGTCTAAGACCTGACAAACTTCATCTTAGTGCTTCCGCACTTCTAAAGAAATTTCCCTTCTGATATGTACTGAGAAAACCTATGGCCATAAATCCTAACTGTACAATGAATGACACCTTGATTCCCGTTGTTTCCACATGTTTATTCACAGGGTTGTTATCTCTGCTATTGTTTTACAAGTTACTTGATGGTTCACTAAAGCTAATTTCAAAGAAAGCCTGGGATCCCACTATGTTATTGGTTCGCATTACACTGCTCATAGTAATAACTATTGCTTAACAATGCCAGGAAAGGTAGTTCTCTGGAGGAAGTGATTTCCCAGAAAAAAAAAAAAAAAAAAAAAGGAAAGGGGATTTCTTTAATCTTCACCATTTTCCAGGAGCACAAAGGTGAGAGAAAGTTCAGAATTATCTTTCTATTTGTCCTTTTTTGAATGTACTTATAACTCCAGTTCTATGATGATTTTTAAAAATATATTGCTACTGTTATCAATCATTAGACTCCAAGAGTTGTGCTTGTCAGGAATTCCACACACCTATAATATCAGGACAGTTGGTGTGTGTGATGGTGAGTTTACTGTTTGTGTTGGTTATTAAGATATATCTCAAAGCACCTCGCTCCATTCTCTGTTCTGTGTGCTGGGGCTGGGACTTTGTAAATCACATTTCCTGTAAAGTTTTGCCAACAGCAGGTGCCTGAGTGGACAAAAAGCTCCTTCCCATTTGCTTACCCTTTCTAGACGTGGCAGATGATACCAGTTTTCAGAGTTGGCTCCACTCTCTCTGACCCAGCCTTGAGACTCACCTTCAGAAATAAAAGTTCCATCCAGGGACCACTGCCTCCTCTGAGGTCTAACTGAGGTTCTGACAACCCCAGAGCTTCCTCTCTGTTCAGCTGAGTGGCAGATGCTTCCTGCAGTTGTGTCCCTCTGTTACCGCAGTATTTCCCTTGCTGTCTTTCCAATCCTCCAGTATCTGTCTGAGTAATTCTGTTTTCTCTCTGGGCCCTGACTCATACACCCCTAAGCCATCCAAGAAATACCTTCTGAATTGTTTGTACAGATTTATGAGTATATGTTATTGCAGTAATTAAAACAAGTGAATTATATTTATGGTATATAGTTGTCTATATCCAACAGACAGATAAGTCATATTCTAAAAGTTTATGAATCCATTGTTTAGATCTTGAAATTCATTTTGCTCTCAAAATAGTAGACCTTGAAATTGGATGGTCAGATTCATCAGTGTTCATAATGCAAATGAAGTACAATTTGGCATAAATAGGGTGAGGAATTAGCATTGCTTTGACAACATATATTTAAAGTTCCAGTCTATATTAAAATATACACAGATTTTATCTACCTTTTTTGAAGTTAAGAAGTGTGTTTTCAGGAGCTGGAGATGTAGTTTAGTTCCATAGTAGAGCACTTGCCTTGGGTTCTATCCCCAACACTAAAAAAAATAGTGTTGATGTTCTTGTAGGCATACCATGTATTGATGATTCAAAACAAACTCAAAATATACTATAAACTCAGGGAAAAAAAATTAGTCATGTGAAGATGGAGGAAACAAGGTTTATTCTAGAGAAAAGAAGTGACAGACATAGTTTGAAATATCCAGTTACTAAAATTTATCAAATTCATAATAAATTATTGAGGGTTTTCACAGCATATATGCTTTTTCCATGGTTTTACTTGAGGATTTTAAAAAATATAATTTTGCTTCTTAGTAAACATAGTCATGGGGATTAGGGATAGAAGGAGAAAGCAAGTTGCAGATATTATTTTTTTTTCTAGTTTGGAGTGAATACACATTTAGTGTATTTTGCAAATGATATTTGGGGTTTATGCTTTTGAGTCCATAGAAAAACATAAGCTACAGATTTAAAGGAGCTCATGTGTTTCTCAAATGGTAGATCTTGCACATAATGCTCCCCACCCCCGAACCCCATGCTGGAAATCAAACATAGGGCCTCCTGCATACATCTTTGCTATTCTCCACTCATCCTACCACTGAGCTACACATAATATATTATTAAAAAACGAATTTCCTACACAAAATTAAGGCAAGATGTTCTAAGAACATCATTGAAGAAGGTATCTCCTAGGGATATAGGGAGAAAAAGGCAAAATTTACCTTGCTTCAGGAGCATATCATTAAGATGTAGACCATTGTCCCCCTATAGTTTGCCTGGGAGATGGTACCTCATTCAGTAGCACTCTGGCTTGGGTCTGGGGAGTGACAGAGAATGGGAAAAAGGAGTCCAAAGCAATCCTCATAGAATTCCAAAGCATAGAACGGGCCATAACTTATCAGAAATGACACACAGAGTTAACATGAAACCTGTGTGGTTTACATGTTGTGGCTAATTTATGCTCACTTAACTTGCACATCTTTGCTGTTCTCCACTCATCTTTGCACGAAGTCTTAGCAGACACTCCCGAGGGCATCTAAATCTCTTAAAGTCTAAAGCCCAAGAAGGTGGGCTGCAGAGACTCAGTGTTTTCCTCCAGACCAGACCAGTCCTGCCCTCTACAGCCATAGTTCTCCCCTGTGTAACTAACTACCTCCTTTGGCTGGGATGATGAGTACCAGGCAAGTTTACATGTTACAAAGGAACTCACCCAACTCACAAGGTTTCAGCTTTCTCCAACAGCTACATCAGGATGTGTGGGTGGGCAAGGTGCTGTTGTTCCTTCAGTTTTTTTCTATACTGGTGTGTTGTACAGAAAAATGATTTGAAGATGAATACATTCCCACTCTGTTTTCTAGGAACTAAGAACCCAACAGAAGACACATGCAATATTCCTCTTGTTACCAATAAGACTGTGCCAACTTTCGTAATTGACACAAAGGCATATGCTGTAAAGGTGGAAGAGATGTTATTCACTTTTCATGAGATTCTGGTTTGTTTCTCAATTTAATCTTAATTTTTATGTAAAAATAAACATAAGTATGAAGATTTTTGTTATTGTTTTGGGAGTTTGGTGTTTTTTTTTGGGGGGGGGGATGTTTGTTTTTGTTTTGTTTAGTTTTTTTGGTACTAAGGATTGATCCTTGGGCCTCACCCGTGCTGTGTCACTGAGCTGTATTCCAGCCTCCTATAGTGAGTTTTTAAACGCTAAATTTAGTAAGCAAAACTCACCTGGAAAACAACAAACCTTCTATGGTCATCTCTAAACTAACTGTACATGACATAAAGAACACTAACATTTAAACTTTTCTTTTTTTGAAAACATACATATATTCATTTTTAAAAATCACACAAGCAGCACTTCTCGCATTTCCGCCTCCGAGAAAGGAGCTATAACATTTTTTTTTTTTTTTAAGACACTTAGCCCTTAGGCTGAGAATCAAAGAATCCTGGGCGCTTTAGGAAGAAAGGGAGCACTTGGACGCTCGCTCTCATCTTCGACCACAGTAGTGCCCAGAGGGCGCCCTGACCTCAGTTTAGAGCAGCGCGCCCCCAGCTCGAGCCCGCGCAGGTGGGCGAGGCGGGTGCGAGGTGGGTCGGCCCGGGGTAGGCGGGGCCTTGAGGGGTGGGCCCAGGGGCGTGGCGCCGGCGGGAAGATCTGGAGGCGCTAGCCCGGAGCGCGAAGGGTACCGCGCGCGAGGAGCGGCCTTGTGCTCAGGTTAGGGCATTTTTTTGAGCGTCGGGATCAGAAACGCTCGCTCCAGGTAACCAACTCCTCAACAGCTCCTTTGCCTGGCCTCCGGGCAATGAGCGAGGACTGGGATGGGTGCGAGCGAAAGAGCCGGCTCTTGGCCAGGGCCCTTCTGCTCCATGCAGGATGGGCTCCGCCAGGGAGAGGAAGCGGAGATGGGGAGGGAGAGAGGGAACCCACCCACGTTCCGAGTGTGCTGGGAGCTGGGGATGGAATCGTCGCGTCCTCTCTCGACCCTCCTTTTCCGTCCCGGGACTGGGACGCCGGTACCCAGTGTCACCTGGAAGTCACTTCCAGGAGGTGGAAGTCTCTTTCTCGTTGGTCCTCGAAGCGAGTAGGAGCTTAGAAATGGGAGGGCATGGATAGACAAGGAGCGAACAGTTGCTGTCGTCTTTTGGGTACCAGGAGCTTTAACTTTAACTCCGTTTAACCCTAACCACAGCCCAACGAAGAGGCATTATGACCCCGTTTTACTGATAAACTCGATGCTGAAATAATGACTTGCACTGTGTTAAACAATTAGAAACAGAAATGCTATTCTGTCAGCGGTTTCCAAAGCCCTCTTCCTTCTTGCTCTTCCTCTTTTATTCTCGTGGGAGTCTAGGAACCTCGTGCTGCAGGATCCTTTATAAAAACAAGCGATTCTTCTTAAACAAATTTTGCTTTTTTTGTTTTGTTTTAGTACTCAATCGCTGAGTCAGTTTCTTGCAGTTTGGGGTTATTACCTCTTGAAGTGCAAGAATATCCGGCGCACATCCCCTCGCAGCTCTTTCTCTGGGTCCAGTGTGAAAAAGAGGCACCTCTTCCCGAAGCAGCCTTGGGGGAGGTTCCCTGCAGAACCAAACTGGGAACTGCATGCGGCCCAGGTGGAGCTAAGTTCTGTGGTCACTTGGCTTCTCATAGATGCCTGTAAACCTTGCCTTAGATGCCGGTTGCCTTATTACTTTTTTTTCTACAGAGAACAGAGTAGTGTTTTTACAAATAATGGAGCAAGAGGCAAGGTGGAAGGATATATGGTGTTTGAAGAAAGTAATGGTGCCTTGAGATGTAAAGGCGGCCATAGCTTTTAGTGGCTTCAATTTGGTGAGTAGTAGGGGAGAAACGTGGTCTCTTCCTTTGACATGCTGCTCCCCTTTCAGAGCTGTTCTGAAACTCAGGTTTGTTTTGTCGGAGGGAAGAGAAGGAGTTAATGTTTTTCAAAGATCAGTGTAAATTACCTGCTTGAATCTTAGACCATTGCTGACAGGTCCTCCTGCGGGAAGTTATTATAACAGATTTCATTTATGGCAGGGAGGAAAACTGTGTGTGGGTATAATTTCTTACTGGTGGTTTTTAGGCTTTCAAAGTAATAGTTTTGGGAAACCTTGATTTCTTAGAAATGGCTAGCTTCTTTATCTTTAAATACAATGTACTATACTGTGAATTTACATTTCTTTTTTGTTGGTAGATTATATTTGTACATAAATAATGGGATTCATTGTGCTATATTGCTACATGCCTGCTAATTTACGTTTTATTTAAATTGGGGATTGAACCCAGGAGTGCTTTACCACTGAGTTACATCTCCAGTCCTTTTTAATTCTTATTTTGAGACAGGGTCTCACCAAGCTGCTGAGGCTGGTAGCAAATTTGTGGTTCTTCTGCCTCAATTTCCCAAGTCACTGAGATTAAGGGCAGGTGCCACCATGCCTGGTGTGAATTAATTGATTAAATAATGTTTATAGTACTGGAGACTGAATTCAGGACTCATGCGTGCTAAGGTAAATGCTTTACCATTGGGCTACATCCCCAGCCTGTGAATTTATTTTTTAAGAGTTTTGTTGGTAGATGAAACAGGTTGATTTCCCAGCCCCCTTATTTCATGGTGAGGATTTGAAGGTTGCTTGCCACTCTTTCTGCATTTCTTTCAACCTGACCCTCTTACCTTCCATTACAAATTTTACTGGATTCCATCCTTCATTAATTATATTTCACCCTTGATTAATTGCAACACTACTTTAGTCACAAGTTGCTACTCTTCCATTTGTAATTTAGTTGCTTGACAGTAAGGAAATACTTTCCCCTAAAGTGGGGTTCACAAAATCATTCATCTACAGGAACAGAACAGGTAATGCACAAGAGTGCTTGTTGGGAGACCAGGTGACCTGCAGAGGATCTGCTAAATCTATGTGGGTATTTGGCCACTTCCACCGGTAACCATGTAGGAATTTTGGTTCATTGTGGCTTGATCTTCTCTTTATATTTTTTTCCCCACAAAAGTAGCTAAAAAATCTTTATCTTTTTTGTTTTTTTTAAAGAGTAGAACCTGATTTTTAAAATTTGTTGTTGTTGTTGTTAATGGGCCTTTATTTAATTTATTTATTTATATGTGGCGCTGAGAATGGAACCCAATGCCTTACACATGGTTAGACAAGTGCTCTACCACTGAGCTATGACCCCAGTCCATAGAACCTGATTTTAAATGTTAACTTTTTTAATACAAAGACTCAAACCTGATTTTGTTCATGCATCATCCATTTGGCAATTTCTGCCTTAGAAACTACTGTTTATACATAATAATTATATTCTTAAGTAAATGGAGAATTCTGAATTATGATATAAATATTGTATATTTTTCATGAAATGAGGTGGTAAGAAATAGAAATTAGTACTGTTGGGAATGATCTCGTTTGATTAACAATGCTGTTTTCTGTGAAAAGTGTGTCATATTTAGGTTGCATTGAATAATGTAGTCTTTCATGGGGACAACTAAAGACAACTTACCATTATATTAATATTCATTATAGTAAGCAATGTACTCTTGGTTCCAGGACAAGATGTTAGATGCCTAACTCTCTGTGTTAAAAAGGGAATCCCCTACTGACTGTTCATATAGATCAAGTGTGGTATGTTCTTGGGGGGACTGTCTGCATTCTTGGCATTGATACTGGAGGCATGGCTAAGTGTTGTCTTGTTTTCTTGTTGCCTATCTGAGGCAAATGTCATGTATGTTCAGAATAGTATTTCCAAACTTTGGCACTTCTGACACTTTTAGCCCAATAATTTTTTGTGGCAGGAGATTGTGCTGTATGTTGTAGGACCTTTAACAGCATCCCCAGCCTGTGCCCACTAGATGCCAGTAGCACCCTCCCTCCAATTATAACAACCCCTAATATCTACAGACTTTCCCAGGGAATGAAGTCACACCTGGTTGGGGTGTGGGGGTGGGGGGGAGAGTAGGCCAGTATTTAAAATGCTCCAGACATTTATGAGCTGGACTACAGGTTACATACAATGAAGTTTCAAACTTCCAGTGATTAGAGAAGCTATTTGTAAATTTAAACAGTTGACCTTTTAAGACATTTTTATTTTATAGTTACTAAACCAGTATTCTCTGTGAATGGCAGATGTGTTCTGCCAAGTTTTATTATCTCCAAAGAAATTTCAAGTGTTCAATGTATTTAATAAATTGTTGTTATGGTTTAGATATAAGGTGCCTCTGAAAGCTCATGTGTGAGATGATTCAAGAAAGCTTAGGTGAAATAATTGGGTTAGGAGAGCTTTAACCTAATAAGTGCATTAAACCATTGATAGGGGTTAACTGGGGCTAACTATAGGCAGGTAGGGTGTGGCTAGAGGAGGTGGGTCCCTGGGGGTGGGCTTTGGGGTTCCATATTTTTTCTCTGGTCTGCAGAGCTCTCTGTTTCCTGATTGTCATGCCCTTACTGCTTTCCTCGGATGCACCCTTCCACCTTGATGTTCTGCCTCACCTTGGACCCAGAGCAACGGAGTGGGCCACTTGGTCTGGACTGAGACCTTTGAAGCTGTGAACCCAAAATGAACTTTTCCTCCTCTACATTGTTCTTGTCAGGCCTTTTGGTCACAGCAGTGAAAAAGCAATAAGCTTGAAATGTTGGAAACTAAAAAGGAACTCTAAACTAATTTTTGTTTCCTCCTTTTAATTCTTGATATCTTTTAGGTTTTTAAGGTCATGAGATATCAATAGACCAGGCTTATCAATTTGGAAAAATTCATATAATCTCTAATATTAGAACCCCAAGCAAAAAATAAACAAAAATTCCAATACTGAGATTTAGTGCAATTAAATTATGTGCAGAGTAAAATCCATTTTTAGGAAAAATTAAACTCATTTTTAACTACCAGTAATAACTGAAAGTTTCATGTATTTCTGTAGGCTGAGAAATCCCAATTTTATGAAAAGAAGTTCTGTGTGATCTGCAGCTCATATCAGAAAAAAAGGTCTTAAAATTTTAACCTTCTTTATTAGGCCTTAAATAAGCTAGAGAGGTAAAGAAACACAGCCATGCTTATTAAAGATGCACTCTTAACTAGGGATCGACTAATTTTCAAGCTAATTTGCAAAACTCAGGACTGGCTAACATAATTTGTGGGGCTTCTTGTTTTTTTTAAAAAAAAAAGTTAAGAATTTCAGGGTGGTGACACAGAGCCTTAAGGGAAGTACAGGGCTATATGGGCTATACAGCCATAAAGCTGGCCCTCATAAAGTTCTTTGCCTCATATCTAAAAGGAAGGCTGTGATCACAAATGCAGATCTAGAAAATGAAGTGTCGCTACTGCCATCGAACACCTCGAGTTTCTGACTCATTGATTACACTTTCATTTCCAATCAGGAATCTGTACCTATATAGTAACCAGTGCAATAAAGTTACTGAGAAATCCTCCCATGACTAATTTTTCTTTTGCTAAAGAGGTGGCCACATTGCTGCTTAGGTTTCTGGGTACCTTGGCCACCTATTTATTCAGGCATTCTCTGATCAACTCTTCAACTGAGCATCTGTTCGATGTCAGGCATTGCTGACTCTGGGTGACAGCTGTGAACAAGACAGTGTCTTTCTTTATGCGTCATCTAGTCTGGTGACTAGAGGAGTGGGCAGACAGGCACACCATCACACAGGCTACACAGTCCTCAGTGGTGCTTCAGAAAAGCACAGGGTGTGGGAGAACATGCAACCTGGGCACCTAACCTGGTTTAGGGGAAGGAGACTACTCAGG